CTTCTAGGTTGGAGGCCATCGCTTCTAGGTTGGAGGCCATCGCTTCTAGGTTGGAGGACATCGCATCTAGGTTGCAGGCCGTCGCTATTACGTAGGAGGCCGTCGCTTCTACGTTGGAGGCCGCTGTTAGGTTGGAGGCCATCGCCAGTAGGTTGGAGGCCATCGCTTCTAGGTTGGAGGCCATCGCTTCTAGGTTGGAGGCCGTCGCTTCTAGGTTGGAGGACGTCGCTTCTAGGTTGGAGGCACTATTAAGGTTGGAGGCCATCGCCAGTAGGTTGGAGGCCATCGCTTCTAGGTTGGAGGCCATCGCTTCTAGGTTGGCGGCGATCGCTACTAGGTTCGAGGCCATTGCTAGTAGGTTGGAGGCCGTCGCTAGTAGGTTTGAGGCCATCACTATTGGGTCGGAGCCCATAGCTATTAGGATGGAGGCCGTGGCTATTACAGTAGGTTGGAATAGGTTGGAGGCCATTGCTATTGCGTATAGAACTCGAATCACAGCCCAAATGAACGAAGGTCTAAAGTTCTCCTGGCATTGAGAACTTCTGTCTCATGAGTCGACTGGCCGGCAGGTCCCCCCCACCACACCATCTGATGGGCCGCCCCATCCGGTCGTCTTGGTGCTAATCCGGTGCTAGCGCTCGGCTTGCCATTTGGTGCCATATCATGCCATTTCACCAAAAGGATGACCAGCGTATGCCAGCATGATGTTGTGTGAAAAGTATCGCCAGGAGAACGTCTACAGTGTACACCCACCTTCCATGTGTCGAAGCATGTTAGAAAAAAACAAAAGGGAGCTCACATGACAACAGCAGCAGCTGCTGCTCAGTCAAGAACCAGTGCATACATCCTCGAAAAATGTGCTGAAAAAGTTTACGAACAACAAGCGCCAACAGTATGAGAGTTTTTCACAGCTGTGGCAAAATCATCCCGGGTTCGGTGACTGGAAACGTTTCGACCCCACCTACTACCATGTGTGTTTGAGTAGTTTCTTCCACAACATGTGTGCCTGGGACCTACAGATTAACCCCGCAAAGGTGCACGCGATCTGTTTGGATCCGGACTTTCCAGATGTGTAGCACCCACGAATGCTGTTCACTGTCTTAATACACTGTCCACTCACGAATGCTGTTGACTTTATGTCGTTCTATGAAAGCAAAAGCCGATGATTTTTGAACGGTGGCTCCCCCCGGTGTCCCTTGCGGTGTCCCTTTAAGGGCGCCGCTGGTCCAGCAGAAGATCCCGCTGAACTGCAGGACACTCTCTTCACCGTCGGGGTGGGCATAGCACATGAGCGGAGAGAAGCCCACGTTGGCCATGGTCACGAAGGTCGTCTGGCAAAACATGCCCACCTGACGGTGGTAGAAAAGCATTGAGCCATGAGATGTTTCTGTCAGACTGGAGGATTGTCCTTTTGACACCGGAGCTGCGGAGCTGCTTTTTTGCGAAGGCACGAAGTCTTCTCAGAAAGGAGTTTTTGCGGCTTGAAGGGCAGCAATGGCTGACAAGAATCAGGTTTCTCAAACCCTGCAACAGGCCATTTGCATCAGTTCACAAGTAGCCCGAGAATTCTGCTCTTGGGTTGGAGGCCATCGCTTCTAGGTTGGAGGCCATCGCTAGTAGGTTGGAGGCCATCGCTACTAGGGTGGAGGCCATCGCTAGTAGGTTGGAGGCCATCGCCAGTAGGTTGGAGTGTTTTGCTTCGATCTATCCCCAACCAGGCTGTTACTCAGCGTGACCACTTTGCTGGGATACCAGGTATTCCTAGATATGTCAATTTAGTCATGGGTGGTGTTGTTTCGCTGCTGTTTGTTCATGCTACTTGTTGTTGGCGTTGCGGCGTTGTGGTCGTGGCTGCTCTTGCTTCTGCTGGCAGTTGTGGTTGGTGGTGGTTCCTGTTGTTGTTAACGCCCTGGTCCTGGTTGGTGGCGTTGGTGCCACTGATTCTGTTGCTGTTCTTGGTGCTGTTGGAGTTGCTCTTGTTCTCATGGAGTTGCTCTTGTTCTCATTCTGACTGCCGTCCAATCCGTTGTTGTCCTCATCCATCGTGGTGGGTTTCCTTACACACCAAGCAACCCAGATTGACGGATACTTGATCGATGACATGACTCCCAGAACTTCCGTGTTGACTCGTTTTCAACTCTGGAAGTCATAATCTTCCACCACGACCAGGCCAAGTCATTAAGGTCATGACTGGACTCTCGACATGTGCTTGAAACCCAAGTCAAGATCTCTTCTTCAGAACATCGGCACCTCTACCCCCCTCGCAGACTGACATGGAACCTGAGAATTGACCAGTGGTTTCGACCCTTTTCCGAATACCAACCCAGCGGTTTTTTGCGGGGTCCCATATGCTTCGATGTTACATGTCAATCTGCAGTACCGCCGCATGTTCCCATTTATCTAATGGTCGGAGCGTTCGCATGCGAGCGTTCGCCTGGTCCAGACAAGCGATTTGCAACGAACTCGGTGTGTGATTTTAAAACGGCAAACAAATGCAAGCCATGCGAGTTTGTTGATGTGTCCATGTTTTGACTCTTCTCCCTTCAAGCCACCATTGCACAGGTACCATGCCAGGTCCATCGCAACTGGTAGTCCCAAAAAAGTCCTCTCCCCAAAGAGCCGGCTGAAGAGAGACATCACCTCAGCCGGATGCGTTCCGAGAGTCACCTCAGCCTCACCAGGACCTGCCGACCGGCCAGCTCGATCTTGGAGAAGAGGTCACACAAAGAGATGAAGAGGGAGGAGGGAGGAGGGAGGAGGGAGGGAGGAGGGAGAGAGAGAGAGAGATGCTTCCAGCTGAAACAAATATTTAGCATCATCTTTGCACGTACTTTCTCTGTGGCAGGGTTCATGGGTGAAAAAGTCCAACAAATGTGCTGCGGCGATCAATGAACAGAAGCTGTGTGCTCCTGAGAAGGGGGTGGGAAAGGACCTTCCTCCTCAAGGTTGTTTGTTGAATGAATGGTGTTATGTCTTGGCCTCCAAAAGCCTTCCCTTGCCAAAAACAACCCTTGAAAGGGTGTCTGGGCCAACACTGCTGGCTTCACCAATTGAGAATCATTTAACAGTGACAAAGAAGCAGAACAGCACAGTCGATGCGACATGTGGGGTGGATATCCTGGTTACACTTATCTTTCAGCCACCAATGTGCTAGGAAATGCCGGAATGGACTGCAGCACTAGCTGGAACCAAGGCAGATTGTAGGGATAGCTCTCATTGGTCTTGTCAATGCACCTATTCTTTTGATTCATACAAGTTCTGTATGTACTCTCACTGCACTGCATTTGTTGACACCGCATCCTGAGCCAGTTCACCACAATGACTATGATCACAAGGGGGAAGGTCGCGGCATGCCAAAAGTAGCGTTGTCCTGTGCTCGTTGCAAAACAGCCCACACCAAGTGTCTCCAGATTCCTTGGGAAGAACAAGCCAAGCGATCGAGAAGGTTTCCGAGAAACACATGTGCTAAGCCAACTGCATTGGGGCCAACTCTGCAGTGCTAGTACCTTCCAAACAGTATCGAGGGGTCATGAAGGCCCGTGCCTCATAGTTTTACGACCTGAATCAAACTTCTTCATGTACGAGACCGCAACACAAAGTGATTACGTGGCAAAGCAAGCGTGCAAACTGGTGCGTACACAAAGTTCTGGCTTGCAAGTTGCAAGGCCGTTCAACTACTATCAAGGTGGGCACAATACACGCAAAAACTCAAGCCCCCAACAGGTGTGTAGAAAAGCCTATATAATATATATATATACTGTTTTAGCTAGCTTGTTGTTTTTGTTAGCTTTTCGCAGTTTCCGTTTCCGCTTGCCTCTGCTGCCTCCCATGTTTCATGCCATCTCTTCTGGGAAAAAAGACCACCCCCAAAAACAAGCTATTAGTAGCAAGAAGCTCTTAATTAGTAGCAAGGTGCGCCTTACTCGTAGGGCATCGCTACGAGTCACCTCAAAGGGCATCGCTCGTCCACCTGACCTTTCGGACGCGACGAACGTCCCGGGGCGGCTCCGGAGGCTCCGTTGCACCCACCGGTTTCACCCGCCCCGCACCCGTGGTGTGGAACACCCGCCACCGGTTCACCCGGTTCCTCAGGTTCGGGTGTGCCAGGCGTCAGCGTGAAGATCTTCACCGAACTCGCCGTCTCGGTCATCAGGGCGGGCCATGCCGTGGGCGCTTGCGTGATCACCGACAGCTCCCTGACGTGGTACCGAGCTCCGGTGGACCCACCACGAAAAGCCGAAGAACACCTTGAGACCCTTCGTTCGACCCAACAGTTCTACACAATGAAAAGATCAAGTGCTTTTGTAAAACACACCAAGAGAAGGGGCCATACAAGACCAATTCAGCCATCCAAGCGTCTGCAAATAGTTCAGCACTTCTCCAGTCATGGAAGCTATCACGCTGGCCGGGAAGCCCTTTGCCACATAGGCGTGCTGCATGGGGTAGTAGCTGAGAAAGACCACGGGGGCGACAAACAGGGCACCGCCTAGGAAGTCAGGCGAAGGGGGGCGCAAAAACAACCAAAAGCTGCTGAGGTCCCCGCGCCCCCAAACCGAGTAAAACGCCCGGTTTGGGAGACCAACTCTGTGTAGACAGACGTCCAAGTCCAAACGATCGAAATGACAAATGACCATCTTCAAAAAACATATGTCTAACCCAGGTCATGCAAGCAAGCAATTCTTGCAACTGAGACGGGTCAAACAAGCGAGTCGCCGTGGATACTCTTTGAAGCCGCAACTGCGACAAAAGAACAATTCTCCAATACACCACGTGGTTTTCGTGTCTTTGGGAGGTCCCATGTGGTTCGAGGGGGTTTCCGTGTTCATGGAAAGAACTGCCAGAAAAGATCTTGTTGCATGTAAAGGTATCACAATACAACTTCAAATGATGAGCCTACGTGGAGTCTACTTATTACACCCTGGCACATTTGAATGAATGGGCATGAATGGGCATGCAGGAATCTCTAGCTTTTCTACAGAACAAGACATTAAATATTATACAGTATATATTATATACAGTATATCCCCCTTATATACTACTCCCAGTGGTCTGCCGTGTGCATTTGATAGAGGGACAAGTCAGGGGGATTATATACAGTACAGTATATGTTCTGCGAAGATTCCTAGAGTCTCTACACAATCTTCCGGAGTCACCCTGAGATCTGAGCGTACCATTCTTTGAAGCCGAGGCACAACTGATGGCAGCTGCGATCGCAGCTTGATTCTCGGAGCATTGGACACATGGCTCTTCATTCGACCGGGCGAAGGTCCCAACCTAGGAGCAGCTAGTGAGCAGCTAGTGCTTAGCTGTTTAGAATGCGAGTAAGCAGTGTCGTGTGCATCAACCTTTTTTGAAGAAACACACACAAAAAGAAACAAGATCGAAAGGCACGAGTGAAACCGCCAAATCAAAAATCACAAAGGAGAAATCCCACGACCTAATCGAAGGACACCAACTCCGTCCATGTCTCCAAGGTCATCGCGCGTGAGTCATGCGCGACACGTGGAAATCGACATGTTTTCGGACATTTCGTTTGTGCTGTTGTTCAATCTAGAACCCATTTGACCTCTGACTGTTATAGGGAAGACCATGTTCCAAAAGAGGTGTCACTCAGGTCCTAGGAATTTCGTTGAACCCTAAGTGGTCCCAAAAATCCTTGACAGGTCAACATCCGCCACCAGTCACATGAATGACTGGTCTTTTTTGATCATTTCATCTCCCGACCCCCTCGTTTTCGAAGCGAGGCCGGGCAACAGGACATTCCGAGCAGGTCCATCCCACACGGCCATTCATACATGTGCCAGGGCGTCCACCAGGGCAAGACTCTTGGCATCGATACACCTGTCTCAGACGTTGGTCCGACCCCAGCGGCATGCTGGTCCCCCCCGCGGGCGATGAAAGCACCACCGCGCCAAGCGCGGTAAGCGCCGCTGCGATCTGATTGGCTGAAATAACTTTGAATGCGCAACTTGGTGATGAAAACACAATCCCAAGAACAACAGCCGGCTTCGGAAGAGGCCACTAAAGGTCTCCTCTCATTACAAAGCAGTTCTGACCCCTGACAAGTGTCCAGTGTCCACGTGCCTATAAATCACCCAAGCAAAACGAGCGTCGACGGTGGGTCGAGCTCCACTCTTCCCTCCGTTCTCGACTGCCCTGTGGCCTTCAAGGGTCGCTCCGGAGCACTATTGAAGCTCGGCTGCAAGACCGGTGGGTCCTGACCTTCGGTGACATTCTCCTGCCCAAGCAAGAGTGCCACAGTGCTCCCTTTCGGACCTCAAGTGGTTCTTCCACGGCACTCCATGTTTCAGCAGACAATGATGCGACGATGTCTGTGGCACGTGGGGGGTGGATGTCTTTACAGTATATGTTTTGATTGTGGCCATGAAATGTGAACAGGGTGAAACCACTAAAGGAATAAGTTGGTTAAAAAAAAAGTTCCTCTTGGAAGATCTTCAAAGCCTCCGAT